AAGAATGTTAGAATGACTGCAGATTTCTCTGCTGAAACTTTTCAAGCTAGAAAAAGATGGTCATCTACCTTCAACCTCTAAAACAAAACAATTTTCAACCCAGGATCCTGTACCCAGCTAAACTGAGTTTCATTAATGATGGAGAAATTGAATACTTTAATGATATTCACATGCTGAAGAAATTTGCCATACCTAAATCAACTCTCCGGGATATTCTCAGACCTATCCTCCACAATGACCACCACAATTCTTTACCACCAAAGTAAACTCACTTGGAAACTTTTGATGAAAATCCAACTTCCACAGTGCTGAAATGATTAAAAATGTCCACTGCACTTTCGATAATTTCATCACCCAAAATAATACCAGGCTTATCACTATTCTCAATAAATGTGAATGGCTTAAATTGCCCTATAAAGTTGACTGACTGGATACAAAAACTCAGGCCAGATATCTGCTGCATACAAGAATCTCATCTTGCCTTAAAAGATAAATATAGATTCAGGGTGAAGGAATGGTCATCAATAATCCAGGCAAATGACAATGAGAAAAAAGCAAGTGTTGAAATTTTATTCGCAGATATAATAGGCTTTAAACCAAAAAAGTAAGGAAAGATAAGGATGGTCACTTCATATTTGCTACAGGCAACACCACACATGATGAGATTTCAATTATTAATATTTATGCACCCAACCAGAATGCTCCTCAATTTATAAGAGAGACTCTAACTGAAATAAGCAAACTTGATTTCCTCGAGCACTATAATAGCCAGAAATTTTAACACCCACTTGGCTGTGTTGGATAGATTCTCCAATAAGAAACAATGCAAAGTAATTTTAGACTTAAAATTAACCACCCAACAATTGGATTTAACAGACATATACAGAACATTTCATCCTAAAAAACCTGAATACACATTCTTCTCATCAGCACATGGAACATACTCCAAAATTGATCACATCTTATGTCACAAGGGTAACCTCTGCAAGTTTTAAAAAATAGAAATTATTCCTTGTATCTTCTCCAACCATCATGGAATAAAAGTTGAACTCAGTAACAACAGGAATCTGCAAACTCACACAAAGATAT